TAGCTACTATCCTAGAACACCCTTCCTTCTATCTATAACTGTTGCCATATTGCTTTATCTCTTTCTTTTCTCTTATCAATTTCCTTTCTTTCCCCGTTTTTCAACATGGATACTGCATACAAAGTAAAGTTCCTGCTCTCATATTACAACCATAAAGACTCAAAGCTCAAGCACTAAATTTTTTTTTTGTCTTAAAAAAAGTCTCATTTTTTTTAGTACTAATTGCTTTATACTTCTAAAAAATATCTCAAAAATTTGTAAATGAAATCATGATAAAATAGTCTAATTTCTAAGTTTATTTTAAATTACCAAACTCTAGTTGTCCCTAGTTACAAGCGGTTCTGTTTATTTAGATTTTTGTTCCCAAATCGGTGTAACATTGCCCAAACAATTCAAGGGTTATGCGTAATATATCTATAATTAAGCAACTTGAAATATAATATCTACATATAAAGGGGTTTAACCTTGTTGAAGATATTGGTCTCGTTTGGGAATGACTCAGATGTCAATTAAAATATATGTAACCATGTTTAGACATATCTGAATCTCAAACGGTAGACTGTCTTGACAAACGAATACATAAGAAAAAACGAACCAGAAAATCTAAACAGAATTTCATGGGTTGGGGAGAAAATATAATAATTTTTATGATTGCAAGGAGATAATTAGGTATTATTTTGTAATTGTCTTCTAATGAGTTTTTCCTAGTTTCAGTTGTTAAAAGTTAATCCAGTTTGTCATAGTGTGATTGAGTCTAGTTCATTATACATTTTGATAGGTCTCATTTTTATAATTTGATAGCTTTTCTCCCAATTCATAGTAAAATTTTGTTTGTTTTTTTTAGTTTTATACTACTTTATATATTTCTAGATCTATTAATTAATGTAAAATGTTAATAACAGTATTAAAAGTGTGGAGAGAGCAACGTATTTTATTCAGTGAGTTGGAGGACGAAAGAAAGTATAGTGAGCTGGTTTGTTGAAAGATAAAAATAAAATAAAATAAAAGGTCTGTGAAGTAATGTAATCAAAACTAGGACGTCCTTTTTTATTATTATTTTCTTTATGTGTATAATAATTTTATATATAATTTTTCATTATATTCAACAATTTTAAATTTTAAATGACTGTAAAGATTTATATTGTCATTCAATTATAAATTATATATCATGGACATAAATTTTAAAACAATTCTTATAAAATAGATATAATTTTTTTGATATATAATTTTTTTTCCATATTTAAAAATAGATATTTGTCAAACTTTTTCGTAAGGTAAATTTACTAATGCAAAAAAAAAGTAAAATTAACCTTTGTTATGTTTTTTATATTTTTTGAAATTCTCAACATACAACGCGGATGACGATAAATTGATGTTGGTTGTGTAACATGTAACATCCCATAAATATAGCACACAATTATATACATGTGTCAACATTTAATAATATGATTGAACAGTTAGTACAATATTAAAGTCAAACTTACAGTTATTACAAAAATAACCATAAAATTTTTCGAACTTTACAAGAGCTTCCTATACTACTATCGAACCGAACGGTTATATTTACAGAACAAAATAGTGAACGATCGTTTCACTAAAACTATCTATATTATATGACCGAACGGTCATCTCCTATTCAGCAGGAGTCTCAACGTCCAGCTCCTGTTCCAATGTAAGTTCTTTCCCTTCTGCTCACATCCAACAAGGATGATCATTGCAATAGAAAACCGAACGGCAACATGGATAAAAACATAAAATAAGGGTAAGCTATTATAACTCAATTAAGCATGCATTCATATAAGAGCCAACGTAGATATCACACATAACTTGAATATCATAATTCACGTACGACTGACACTTGACTTGACCATCCGGATTGTATGAATACGTAGCTTGAGGCCATTCGTGCACTCGGGTGGTGGAGTAATTGGAAAACCATCAGCTGCCACCCGAGGTTAGTCCGTTATAACTCACCCAAGAACCTATGGGCTAGGACCTCCCGCCATTCTCACACAATGACTTACCCATCTCAACTTGAGAACTGGTAATCATTAGAATATCAGGATGAACTCCGTGAATTTCACTATCCGTATTCATACTTTACCACCACATTATCCTTACACTAAGACATTCCTCCCCGGAATTCTCTTCCACATTACTTGAAACATAAACTTTTACTTGAATACTAATAATATTTCCCATACATAATAGATCATTGTTGTAATAAACAACCAACACCAAGCCATAACATCAGCATTGAAAGATCAAACAACATTTCACATAAGAAGATCGAACGCTCAAATAACACCACCCTTAGTTACCAACGAACGGAAAGGATCTAAACAACAGACGAATATAACCGGACGTTTATTTAATAGATATGACTTTGACATGAGCCGAACACAGCTTAAGAATAGAACACTCTAATTAAACCAAATACTTAATATAAGACTGAACCATATTTAACTATCCTCAATACTCGAACGAACGATATTTCAATATCCTCAAAGTAATAACGAACGATATTCTACTATACTCAAAACAAGAACGAACGCTATTTCACTATCTGACAAAATTGAACGCCTAGAGCTTCTACCGAACACTTATAATTACTCCTACAAACTATTCATCAAACCTAATACTTTTAAGGAAACCGAACGTTAAGACATTTTAGCTTAAATACCCATAAACTTGTATCTGATCATAAACGAACGTAATTTAAGCCTAGTCTAAGTACGAAGTCTATTAATAATAATATATGAGTTATCACAAACTAAAATACCTAATCCAATAAGACTGATTATAAAGGTATATAACCATCAACACGTGATATATTAATCACTTCCTATAAACGGAACGATTATACCCTGGTAAGGCTAACATGCTAACTCTATTGATAACTTATTCTCTGACCATAACCAAACGATTGAGACCAAACACCCAACTATTCTACATAATTTTGCAGAATCCTTAAAGACTTATACAAAACCACCCAAAACCCAGAAACATGCATTTCATACACTCATATACAAATTATCAATCAATTCATTCCATACATACACAAAATCATCACATGTATAATTAAATTTAATAGCTTCCCTTACCTCTTAACAGATCGATCTCTCACAATATAGAATTTGTACCACGACCAAACATTCAACCTCCCAGATTCACTGTTTGAGGAAAACAAACCACCCAAAAGACTAGAAACGTGATCAGAACCTTAGAAGAAGAAGAAGATAAACACATGCAACAGAAACTTGGTTTGCATGTGCCCCAAACTAGACTTTATTAGAATCAGGAAGACCTACCAGTTCAAACCACTAAACGATCGGTTGAAAGGAGGATCCTTGCCACTAGCAACCTTACATACACTCTGATGGATGATCAGATGGAAGAAAACGTGAGATTTAATGGAGGAAAAGATGATAATTTTAGAGAGAAGTTAGAGAGAAGGAGGAGAAACGAGTTCAGAAGGTTTGGAGGAGAAGATTGCATGCAAAAAATGGAACCAGTTTTTGAAATTTTAGCTTATATATTCTCTTAGAAAACCGATCGTCCACTCTCCTGCAGCCACATGTCTTCCACTTCCTGAGTCTCGTTGTTCTCTTGCAGACACACGTTTTCCATTAAGATGTGGAATTTAATGGTTCTGACATAACATCTATTCAATTTATAATAAATGTTAATTGAGGTACGTGGATTTATTTTTTGTAATATTTTTTATAATATTTTATTCTACTGAATTCATGAAAAATTAATATAATAAACAAGATACATTTACAAAAGATTTCAAATTTTCAGATACTACGAATATATAGAAATCTTAAACGATAGATTTTTGAAAATACAAGAAACTCAATCCTCTTTGGAAGTTGACCAATATGTTTTTTCTTTTTTTCAACAACTTTCATTTTTTTATAGCATATTTATCTTTAAGTCTATAACAAAAGTTATGATTTTTTAAAGTTTTTCACCACTACAGTTCTAAATTTGAAATAAATATGTAATATGTGAACACTCTAGCAATTTTACAAAATCCTAAAAGTGAGAATGAAGATAAGAAAACACCAACCTTTATGAAATACAATTAGAAATAATAAAAGCTTGAGTTCAAAAGATTATCACAATTTTAACATGGAGTGAAATGAGTTGAAGATGAAGCATCATGAATTGAAAATAAAGCTTTATTGTGTGATAACTTAGGCACAAACAAGAAAAAGAAAATAATAAAGAGATTTCATCCAAATAATCTCATACGGTTTCTTTTATGTTTTAAAAACGAGTTTGAGAAAGGATGCGAGTGCTGTTGATGCCATAAAGTCTTCAGACATCAATTTTAGGATACGCTACAGAGGAGGCTAACATCAAATTTGATTTAAAGGTCTGTTACAATTGAGTTGTGATTTTAATTACAAAAATATTACCAAGGTTGGTTTTTTCGAATCATTACACTATGTTGAATGTATTATGTTAGAAGGGGATTTTTTTTGTTAGTGACTTTGTTAAAGATAAAAAAAAATAACGTAGATATAAAAGAAAATAGGAAATTATTTTTTAAAAGAAATTAAAATTTATAAAAGAAGCCTTGTTGTGGTCTTAATGGAGTGATCCAATTGTGGAATTTGTGTAAACCAATCTTTAGATCGTTTGTGAAAGTACTAATACTCCGTATTCATCACTTTGTCTTCCCTATGTATGAAAGCAAACTAAAGAGAGCGAATTCTGGTGTGGACCACACATGAAGAAGAAGAAGCCATATGTGTTCCACACCTCAACTTTTTCTTCCTCTTTTTGCTGCACTGCCATGGAGATACCCGCTTGACCACGTGGTTCCTTACAACTAGTTACCACTCTAAAAGACTCTTCCTTCTATCTATATGTGTTCCTCTCTTTGCTTTATCTCTTTCTTTTGTGTTATCAATTTCCTTTTCTTTCCCTGATTTTCAGGTTTCACCTTAGATCGTTCCATTCCTCCCACTCCAAAAAATTGAGCACAATTATCGTTGGACAACAAAAAATATCTTATCGAAACCATATTATTTACTCATTAATCATACATGCTTAACAAAACATCTAAAGAAAACTTCAAAAATGGGTTCTGACACGTATTTTGAGCATAGTATTACACTATGAGGCCATTAGCAATGGCGCGGTTAGTACCAACATGGGTGGTTTCATACACTGGAAGCTCCTCACAGTACCTTTCACTTCCAAACACTGCCAAATGATCAAGCTCAAAGAGATCCGAACTTGCATAACTCGACGCATCATCATCGTCGTCATCCTCGTAATCAACTTTACTCCTCAAGGACAACTCCTTCAAAACCAAATCATTGCTCTTCTTCGGGTTTTGTCGGTACTCTCTCAAGAACCCTCTTGAAGCTTCTTCCTCTTCACACAAACGTTTGTGCCCACAGGGTCGACTATCTTCACCGACGATCACACTCACGGGGTAAAATCGCACTGTTTGCTTCACCCCACTGCGCATCCTCTCTCTTCCTGAAGACATGGTTTTGCTCAAACATGACCTGGACAATGAGGAAGTAGAAGAGCATGTAGAGGAATAGTAGGAAGAGGAAGAGGTGGATGATGATGATGATGAAGCGTGCTGCACTTCGCCGCAGGAGCGGGAGCTTGTTTTCTTAGTGTTGGCGAAGAGCGAGTTGAGGAAACTCGTGACACGACCACCAGGAGAAATCGGTTGTTTCACTTTTTTAAGGTTGTTGTAAATCTTCAACGCCCGGGACTTGGATTTTATCAGCATCTCCTCGTCGCGAACCGCCACGTGTCGCTCCTCAGAGGTGTGGGAGTTCCGACACAAACCCTCGAACACGCGAATCCCGTATCTCTCCGACCGGAACGACGCGCTCCCGCCCACGAGCCTGGCGCGCGGCGCGAGACACGATTCGCGCGAGATGGATTCGTTGTCGGAGGAAGAGAATCCAAAGCTGGAATCCGAGGAAACCGAGGTGGAGCTGAAGAACAAAGCATCCTCGTCGCGGTGCACTTTTTTTTTGTCGGTTTTGGCGCCGACATATTTTATATCCGCATCCATGGATTTCGAATTGCCCCTACTGCTCTGTTTCTTGGTGGTGCTCATTGTTGTGTGTCTGTAGAACTTGGTTTCGCCGTTTTTTCTCTCTCCCTCGTCGATGGAACGGTAGATTTGGTCAAGGAGAGTGGTAGAGAAAGATGGGGTTAGTGGCTTGTTTTCATCGTCTCTCTGTGGCTTGTCTAAGTTGTACATGTTTGTGATGTGATGCAATAACTGAAACCAAGGAACTTGGAAGAAAAAAAAGAAAAAAACAACTCAAATCAAGGAAGCGATTTGGTGCTGTTGAAGAAAATGAGGAAGAGAGAGTTTGTTTGTTTGATGGGATTGAGGATTGGTGGTGGAATGAGAGGGTGAGTTTATAAAGGATTGAGGGAGTAAGGTAGAGAGTGTGAGTGAACATGGTGGTCCACAAAAGCAACAACACGTCCCTACCCATAACCAGATTTGAATCAAATGTGGTTCATAATTTTTAAAGCTTATTCTTATATTCTGTCAAAAAATGGCTATATATTTCGCGATCTTTTTTAATAAATTTAGCTAAATTGCATACACAGATCCCTAGTTACCTACATTTGTTGATTGAGTTATATGCACCATATCTTGTAACATATAAGAGTAATAAATAAAGTGATTATTTAGAATTAGGGTCTCCCACCATTCTTCCGTTTTGATGACAAGTTCATGCTTATGCCTTCCCATCACGTACCGAGATTTAAATATGTGTATATTGGAGTCTTCATGTGAGTAGGTCATTGTGTCTATTTACAAAGAAACCAACCGACAAGATCATTCTCATGGTCGCACGCCCCTAACTACAGATTTTCTATGCTTCATGCTTCATTTTTGCATAAGATACACAATCTTCATTTTCTACACTATGATCATTTTTGGCCTTTTATATCAAAATGCCTGAACACTCATTTTTCATTCAATCTTTTACAAATAAGGTGACAAACTTCACTTTATTATCTTGTTGTCATGTATATCATGTCATGGGATATAAATAGTTCTCACCCATTGCATATATAATTAAGCTTAAATTAAGACATACATATCTAATGTGTGGCGGGAGGGAATTAAATTAAGTGGTGGGACCATTCATAAAGTTAAAAATATGGATTTCAGTAGTTATTATTACGAAATGAATGATAATGTGACAAAAAGGTCAAACCCAACAGCAGTGATGTAAAAATTGTCAATGAAATTTAATTTCTTCAACTATAATATGTTGACTTATATTTTTTTTATATTTAATTTCTGTTGAGGATTCTTTTTCATTAGTCACAAGTAGGTTATATAATAGGTACCATCAGTCGTTTTGTTAGAAACACAATATGTCATCGTTAAACATTTAATTTGATGGAAATGAATGATACGATATAATAATTATTATATATGTGTTGTTTATTGTTTTGATAGGAAAATGTTATCTTATAATTTATTTTATCTCATTTAATTTTATTATTGTAGTATTTTTTTATTTTAAAGAAGAGTGAGTCAAATTCAGCAGAACAATAAGGAAAGTATATATATATATATATATATATATATATATTTAAATAGTTTAGTTGAAATTATATCCTTTTATAATTTAAAAATATAATTTATGAAAAGTCAATTATTAAAAATTTATATGAAATTTTAATAAAAATAATATTGTTCTTATCGAATTTGGGATTTAGACTCCTTGACACGTGACAATATGTGATTGGATCAAAGAAGTTCTTTGGTATGCTTTAGAGGTTTGAGAAACGAGAGAAAATCTACCTGTAAAAGGTATTCTGACGCTCAAATTAGTAAGAAATCAAAGAGATCAGTAGTAAAAAATTATGAATTTTACCTCGCATATTTGACATTGGTTTCGTTGGAACCAAAGCATATAATGGTGCGGTGTCATTTTTGCAATTATCGTAAACATATATGTCTCGGTTCACAAAGAACCAAAATATAAAGGGGTCTATGACCTCGTTTATTTAGATAACCGAAGTCATATAATACTTATGCCTCGGTTATGCTGTGACAAGTTGTTTGAAAGATTTGGTAATTTTTGGTCTTTGGATTTCAATCACTCCTTCAAAAAAAACATAGATTTTGTGAACATGAAGGAACTTATTGAAATTCAGAGACAAAAAATTAACGATTTGAAGGATACAAAGGTTCTCAAAGCTCTTTAGGAAATGAAAACTTTAGTAGATAAGGTGTGTCTGTTATAAGATATTTATCTTGTTTTTGACATCAAAATTGAGTTATTTCGACATTACATTTCTTCTAGAAATCCAAAAAAGTTGATTCATGCAACAATATAACATCTGGAAAGGGAAACTCCAACATTAATTGACGTCAAAGTTTTTCTTTCACAATGTTAATTGATTATATGACGTTAGAATGTAATATTTTTTATGTCTAAAATTGGACAATTATTTATAACAATGTCACTAGTAATTTTTAATTGACATATTTTATTTTTGATGTTGAACGCTAGACGTTAAAACTTTTTTTTATATTAGTGTTAATATTAGTCTTTTCCTCACTCACGTTATTAGATAGGAGTAAGTTGGTTTGAGAGAATTGTTGTAAAATCATTTTATTGATAATATAATGATGAAGTTGAATATATATTAAATAAAACATGTTGATAATTTTTTTAATAATAATAATATTATTGTAATAAAAAAATTATGAGTAGTAAATAAAGAAATATTATTAAGTTAATGATGTGTTGAAGGAGTACTAAATTAGAATAGATTTCAAAAAATCAAATAGTAAAATTTGATGGATTTTTTTATATAGTAAGAATTAATGATACTGATGTAAATTATCTTATCATAAAAAGTTATTATATTCATATTTATAACAAGAGAATAAATTAAGTTAATTAGATATTACAACATATATTATCTTATCGTAAAAAGTTATTATATTGATATATATACCAAGGAGAATAAATTAAGTTAGTTAGATATTACAACATATGTTAGTCTCTAAATTCGAAACTAATACTGAACTCTGATATTACCAAATCAATTATTATATGCATGATTGAGAGATAAAATAGACTTGATAATTTTATATATATATATAT